AGGGGACAAGATTGGGCAAACAAAATAATCGAAACAAGTGCATACGACACTCAGTTGGTTGTTGGAAGCTGGGTCGTGGATAAGTTGAAGATATTGGGGGTTGGATTGGGGCAACTACAAAAAAGGAAATAAAAGGTACTTATACGAATCTATTGGACAAACAGAATGAAAATAAACGGAAACACCTCAAGAAATTTAATATAGGGCGCCACTTGAGGTGCCCAATTATACCTATTACAACCACTAGTTGTAACTAAGGGAAATAATTGTATAACATCAAAAATATAAAAAAAAAAATATCTTTTTTCAAATAAAACTCAAAATAGATAAGAGAAACAAATTAAACATTTATTATTGTCTCAAACAGTTTTCAAAAATACAGCTTATAAAGCAATACAACTTACAGCAACAAAGGCATATTATATATAAATAGCTGTCCAATACAAATAAAAAGAACTTACATATCTGTTTACAAAAGGTTACAAAATTCTCTGAAATGGTTCCTAGTTTATAATGTGGCCAAATTTTATGGATATACTTTTATAAAGAATAAAATTTAATCTTTACTACAAATCAAAATAGATTAAAAATCAAACTGTCATACGTCAAAAACAAACATTTTTAAAAACAGGATAAAATTATGACATGACAGTTTAAAACCAGGCCCTAACATAATATAATTACAAATATTTTTTTTTAAATAATTTATAAAAGAAAGCAAATTTTGCCTTTTTAAAAGAAAATGTCTATTTTTACTTTAAAAATAATAACGTAAATGTTACCTCAGTTCACACATGTTAACTTAAACTTTTGAACAACTGGCTAACTTCTGCGGGGTATCCAACTGCACATCAACAGAAAGCTTTATTGGAAGCTGAAACTGGCACATCCAAATCAAAACTGCTCCAATATTATTCTACATGAGGTGAAAAGGGCATCTCGGAAAGGAACTGGATTTCTCAAAAAACGAAAAACAAAAAGGAACTAAACTTGTTCACTGCTCAAACATCATAAATCTTCAGCCAAAATAAAAACAGTGGTTACTGGTCACTCTTTCAGAAACGACATATTACTTAGAATGAAAATTCCACCATTTTGGCGAATGAATGCCGGTTTACCACATCACCATTAAAACGACCTTTCGCTGCGAGCAATTATTCATCACTGCCCTCGCTGACCACTCTCGATCTCAATCTCCGGATAGTAACCCTCTTTTCCCGCACAAAACCATTGCCATCTTGTCAAATCAACAAATTCTTTACTCAAATTCGTTCAAAACATCCGGCGTTACTGCGCTTTAGAAAAAATAATACCGAGGTTGCAATATTTTTCTGGGAACGTTGAAGTTGAAAAGCCATAAATTGTTCTCTTTAGCAAATACGTTTTTATTTATTGAAGAATTATTGCGTATTTAAAAATCTCTACAGACAACACATTTCTAGCGTACCAGGGGCGTACTATATAGAATCGAATTTATATTATTATTTAGACATTAAATATAAAACGCTACAATGCCCCTTCTTAAAAAGAAAAAACTCGGATAACTTTATCCAGTTTTTGATAAAAGCAAAACAAACAAAAACAAAATCAGAAGATGACCTCCTAACTGAGTCAAACTGCTTAATAATATCTTTTAGATGATGGCTAGCATGGGATTAAACAACAAAAACAAAATTAGTTACAAGAATGGGCTAGCGTGCCATCGATCGCCAGACTCTTTAAAGTCGAGTAGACTGAAATGTTTGACTCTAAAATGAACTGTAGGTGACATGAGTTTCTATGCCTTGGGGGAAGCTAACCTTATGCCCTGCAGTGAACCTCGCTGACATTCACAGCAGTAACACAAGTGATTTGTCGGGCAGGCATAGCCATGACACCTCGTTGCCTAAACCAAGTGCTACGCACAAATCCAAAATAAATTGCTCTACACTTAACAGGTAGGCGTCTACTATCTCCACTATACGCCTAGCGAGACAGGAATTCGGCAACGGGTTCTACAAAAAAATAATTAGGATATAGACCCTAAATCTATATACCTACATATGACAAAATGTGATTCTCACATGTGTCTCCCAAATAAAATAGGTTACCTGAATTAAAATTATCAAAAGTGAAACAATATTCCAAAGGGATGAAATCAAATCAACATACAAACTCGAAAATACAGACATATGGATAGGATGAACTAATTACTTAAAGATGACATATTGTCCTCATTCTGATACAAAAGGCTTTAAATCCTTAATGTGCCATTTACCAAGATCCGAACCATTTAAATCTGACAAACGATAAACCACTGTGTGACAATTTTTCCTTGATAGTTGCTTCAATATACTTCGGTGCTAGTTTGGACATTAAACTTGTTGACAGCACAAGACAAAACCTTATTTCTTTTCCAAACTCTATCACCCACTTGAAATTGGACTTCTCTTCTACGTAAGTTGTAACTCCTAGCGTTACGTTCATATCCTTTTCGAAGATTAGCCTTAACCTTTTCAAAAACTTCATCTAAACCTTTGACTTCTGAAGCATACATGTTACGGTCACCTGGAATTATCTCGATATCTTGATTCTGTTGATCCTTATGATCAACACCATAATAGTTTCCACTTAAAGGAACATGACGGCCATAATTCAGGAAAGCTGGAGTATATCCAGTCACTTCATGCTTTGCAGTGTTAATAGCTTGTCTGATCTTTGCTAAATTCTTGTCCAATCTACGTGGTCTTTAACATACGTACGTATTGCTGTACCAATGGTTCTATTGTTCCTCTCCACAAAATTACACTGAGGTGCATATACTGGGCTAAACCATACTTTCTGAACGTTATACCTATTACAGAGCTCAATTAAGAGAGGATTGTTCAGATTTGAGGCATTATCACAAATCACATATTGAGGAACACCAAACATTAGGAAAACATCATTTTCCAAAAACTCAACAATATTCTTAGCCGTGGCCTTTCTCAAAGGTTGGACTAAAGTATATTTACTAAACCAATCAGCAACTACTAATAACCACGTATAACCTTTCTTTGAACGAACAAAGGGACCTATCAGATCTATTGCAACTATTTGCCAAGGAAACTTGGCCTCTCTCTGCTTACCCATTTTACCTAATGGAGCATAATTTGGTGTCTTCTGAGCACCACAAACTTTACATGACCTGACAAACTTAAGCACATCAACACGCATCTGGGGCCAATAATATCTTTCCTGAATACGGGACAAAGTTTTGGAAAATCCAAAGTGAGCACACGTAGGTGGCTCATGACAAGACTTCATAACTTCAAACCTTTGTGGTTTGGGCACAAGAATTTTTCCACTCTACATCATTAGTCTTAAAAGAATTTTTGGTAGGGGCAAACTTATAAACAAAATCATTCTCCACCTTCCACTGTGGAAAATCAAGGGGGGATCGATTATCTTTGATCTCAAATTATCGAACCAAGGTC